ATACATAATATATGCACAGTGCGTTAACTGGAGTGCGAGTATTAGTTACCCGCACTCCAGAGCATGCCCATTGATTGACTCATTTTTGCTGGGGTTTACATATTGTGACGGCAGAGAAAGGGAAAGCGACAGAAATGTCATATTCAGATGTTCGTTCATTGGTTCATTTTTGCCGGGGTTTCATATTGTGACAACAGGGAACGTGATTTTATGTTTGACTATGATACAAAAGAGAAAGAACACCAAAACACTCGGCAATCTGGTTAATACTCGGGGGCTACGCCCCCTCGTACAAATCAGATAGCCTCGTGTTTCGGTGCTCTTTCTATTACTTATACAATGTAGTTTTCTTTATACTAGATTTTGAATTCCACCCATTAGTACCAATGTTATGTTAATGTTAAGATTTCATATTTATTTTATTTAATAGAAACTGGGAATTATTAATGTTATGTGCATACATGTATATCTTAGTATATTGATATGATGAGACTTATAATATTTCTGTATTTAATGAGTTACAGTTATGACATTATTATTAAAGGGATGAGACTTTCATTTTAAGTTATAAATGATAATACATGATTGTATTGATTGAAAATATCCTTAAAATTGGATCAAGCAATATAATTTATCAAGTCTCAAAAAACCATATTCTGAATAGTTATTGTAATTGTTTATCTAACATGTGCATAGTTTGAAAAGGACAGCTCCCGTCTTATCTAATTGTTATGGAGGGACACCGGTCTCAACCTCCAGGTCTCCAGAGTCAACCCAAGAACAGACTTTTCATAGAGTAAATTGTTACTTGCCCTTGAATAAATTTGTGCACTAAATTTTAAATTGGGTGATTTGTGCCACATGAAAACCAACAAAGTACAAAAAGTAACCAGGCGCCAGATGAAAACATGAGAATTCAATCTACCACAAAGTGGTTCGTTTGTTGCATTTTCATGTTTTCGCCCGGTGCCCTGATGCAAAATACAAATCAGCCTTCATAAAATTTCTTATCATAGAAAAAAGGTTAGTTTTTTATCTGTACAAAAAAATAGATATTGTATATGTATTAGTACAGTTATGTTCACTTTCAAATTGACCTGTTATAAATAATGGCACAACCAATAACTGTCTGAGCCCTTTTTAGTAACAATAATTATACAATATATAAATTGTTATTTTGATTAAGGCTATGAATATGTAAGGTTTTTTCTTATTTGTTTTATTAAGAATTAATCTACTTGTTAATTAGAACTGTTCACTATTTAGGGGAGTAAAATGTGTAAGCGGCGAGATAGCTCAATCGCTAAAGTCGCGGTACATTATTCTTTGGGTCACAGGTTCGAGTTCTTGTCAAGCTGAAATTTTTTCTCATCCTTTGACTGCATATACCCGTGAGTTTAATTCACTTTGCTCTGTAAACATAAAACATTAAGGACACAAATCAATATAGTGGGAAATATGTTGTGGTTTATAACTGTTTCATTATTAAAGAGAAAATGTTTACAGTGGAGTTCACACTAAAGGTTACATAAAGTGCACTAGGAGTGTACTAGATGTGCACTACTTGTGTACTTCAAAGTGCACAAGTAGTGCACTACTAGTGCACTTTGTAGTGCACCAGACCTTTTATATGTATTAAGCAGTTACCTTTTATTTCAATGAATAGCAATTTGACTTTTACAAAAAGATTGATAAATATAGATACCTGCATAATAGTTATTCATAATAAATTTGAAATTGTTAATATTGGATTTTGTGTAATATGGCGTAAAATATTATATTAATTAGAACAATAATTTTTCAAAGTCATTAATTTTACTGATTAAAACATAATTGTTAAATAAGTAAATATAAATAATTATATCTTTAATGTTGATAAGTGCATTAATAAACAAAATTAATTGATATTTAATATGATTCTATTTTTTATAATCTGGTAATGAAATATGAAACATTGAAATGCTAATTAAACAAAATTCAGTCAAGTTTTTTTGTTTTTGTTTTTTTTGTTTTTTGTTGTTTTTTTTTGTTTTATTTTTTGTGGGGTGGGGACAAAATATATCAATTAGTTATTTTTGATCTGAACTTATTGTTGTTTTAGTTAAAGGTTATGATTTTAAGCATTAATAGCCTTTAATACAATAAAGATTAAATATGTTTATAATTGGTCAAAAATGTTGTCAATTTTATCTCATTTATAATCTCTCTTACTTTCTGAAACTGAGATTTACCTAAGATTAATATAAATGATATATATTATTCTAAAAATAAATATTTATATATAATGATTGTATATAAAGTATTGATATGTTTGAATTAAGTATTGATATGTACCTGTTGGACACTAGTATACTTTAACTGACATGGATATTAACAAAAAGATTAGAAAATCTTTCAATTCCATTTTTTGAGACGACCCCAATCTTTTTTCCTTTTTCTTTTTTTCATGCATTGTTACATAATTATGCAATATCATTTTTTATGAGTTTATTATAAAATGCAAAAATATTTCAGTTTTCTTTTTTCTTTTTTGTACTACTTGTAATGAATGAAATGTATTTGCACCATCATCCAATGAATACAGAATTTTACATTGCCTACTTATATTTATCATCTGCCTATTGTTAATTACCACGAGGGGCTCTCTTATCAGCAGGGTACTTTATTTAAACATGTACCAATACATAGCATGACTTTTGACACTTCAAACTTCTGTAACTGTTTTCAGCTCATGTGTGGTATTTTATTATAAAAAAAAAACAAAAAAAACAGATCTACATTAAAGTGAAAAGGAAGTTGCAACAGTTTTATGATCTTGTATTTAAATATTCTCTTTAAAATATATTATCTTCTAAATGTGTTAAAACTGACAAGGTAAATTTGTCAACTCTATAATAGAAAAAAATTAACATTTCCCAGTTCAGAAACTAAAATATGATTTTAATGCAGAATTGCAAGAAATGGGGATAAATATTGATATGAGGTCTTTCCAGAATAGTTAACACTGATATTGATTTTAAACCAGTTTTTAATGATAAGATTAGAAAATTCCACTTCAAAGACAATAATGACAATAATATCTAACATGCATTTATGCCATTATTATTATTATTATTATTATTTTACATTTGATTATACGAAAATTACAGTCATTTATTTATATGACTAACTAGCCTGAGTGCCAACGCCTGATGAATCCCAGGCTTATGTCTGACATGCATTTTGAGAAAACCAGGGAATTTCAATGCATACTTATAATCTGCAAAATTGACTGTTCTTTGTTATTTACCCTGAGGCCCTCTTATCAGCAAAAGAGTGGTATAATGAAAACAATCCATCTCAGTAAAATACCAATACACAGCATGACTTGAGATTTTCCTTTTCAATAAAAGTATTCCCTTTATACATTTAATTTTCAATATTGAAATCATGAATAAAGTTATCAAATTTATTTATTTTATGGATAATATTTTGATTATTTATATCTTTAAAGCATATGCAAGCATTACACAGTTGAATACTCAATTATCACAGTATATTGATTGTTTTAAAATCAATGTATTAATATTGTCTTTCAATATTGAACATGAGGAATTGTCTCTTAGTTATATATTAAAGCTTAAACATAAACCTTCAATGATTTATTTGAGCTAATGAACTAAATTAATTGGGCAAGAATTATTACATTGATTTTCCCATTTTTGTACACCAGAAAAAATGAAATACATGATCATTATTAATAGCTTTGAAAAACACTTTTACGCAATTATACATATCAGGGCATATTTAAATTTAACCTTATTAATTCTATAAATTTGATTTTAAGGGACGTTATTTTGCACTTACAGTTAAATACTGGTTAATAAAAATATCATTACAATCAATATTTTTTTTTTAATTTTAAGCTTTAACATGATATCAACTAAAATGTTAATATTTACTTATTTATATTCATGAATAGGTCATATATTCCCAAAGGTTTTTTCTCCTTACAGAAGCTTAACAATAGATGCCCCCTGTCATTTGATATACAATTATCCAATAAACCACTTAGGTGTCACCTTCACTGGCCAGCCATGTCATATAGTCTAGTGCACTAGAAGTGCACACGGTGTGCACATCTAGTTCAGCTCAAGTGCACTAGAAGTGCACAAGGGTGCGAAGTTAAGTGTGAACTCAACTGTAGCCGGCCTGATAGCTTAGTTTGTCTTCTGACAGTCAGGGGTTCGAGTCATGGTCAGACAGTTTCAGTCAGGGTTCAAAGGTGGTTTTTCAACTGACACATGTTTGATTCATGAAACAGATTGTATTAAATTTGAAATGGACAAAGACAGTATTGCATGATACTTTTAGATATACAAAAGGCATTTGAACCAGTTGATCACACTATACTGCATATGAAGAAGTTCTTCTTCTTCTTTATGAAATTTCAAGCATCTGCAATAGGTAATGACATTCTTACAAGGTTCAAGTCTTATCTCTGATAGACAGTAACTGGTGGATGTGGCTGGTATTCATTCTACTACTACTCCGAGTACCTATGGTGTCCCCCTGAGGTTCATTTTAGGTCCTCTTTTATCTCAAATATATGTGAATGATATGTCTGCAACCCTAAGTAATAAGCTTTTGTGAAGTATTTAGGTGCAAAACTTGATCAAATTTTTTTGGCGTCGCCTTTGATGCTTTGCATCAATGCTTTTCTTGTAAATTATTTTAAATTATCCCTGAGAGCTCATACTCTACACAGACTAGCTATTATGGAGCTGGTATTTACCTATTATTATTTATTGATTTCTTGTATATTAATTAATTAATTAATTAATTAGTTAATGTATTTATCCATTTATTTGTATTAATTCATTCATTCATATATTCATGCATTCATTTATTAATTGATTCATTAATTGATTGATTGATTGATTTAAATTAATTATTTAATTAATAAATAAATAATTTATTTATTCATTCATTCACATTGTCGATTATCATATTCTACACAGACTAGCTATTTTCATGATGGAATTCGTGTATCCGAGAAGACAGGCAAATGTGAGGGTGTAGAGGATGCTACAATCCAGGAAAGAGGATATGCTTATGCTAAAAAGGAAGCTATGCAACTGCAATATTCCGGGCCAGTAAACGTAAGTAAATGATTATAATCATTTCTTGTTTAGTTGGATTTCTAAAAAATTATTTTTATAATATAATATATTTAATGTGTCCGAAAGTGAACAAAAAAAAAAGACTGTAAAATATTTAAGATACATAAGAGGAAATAATTTTATTTCATTTTTTGTACTTATTGGAACGTCAATGATTATTGAAATGTACTCAGTTGTTATGTTAGTGATGTGCCAGCTTTAAGATTGAGTCATGTACATAAAATTAAAGTTGTTATTTTAACATTAACTTCATTAGTGACTGTAATGAATAATATTATATTGGTTTTGTAATTAACAGTGCTTTGTTTTATTTTATAATTATTATTATTTTCAGATGCTAGCAAAGAAGCTAACCTGGCCATATTCCGGAGGGTCCAAAGTTGATGCATTTTTCTCTTATCCCGAAGCTGGAAATGGTAAAACTCGGTAAGTACAATGGAAAGAAGGAAAGAAAATTCACCAATCTGATTTAAATCAGCTCTAAATAACTCCGCTTTTTGATCTAACCGTGACCGTATACACATTCACTTCTGGTGACATTTCAAGCAGCCAATCATCTGCGAGCTTTCATAATTTTTAAAGCGATGTGGTTTCTAATTTTAACCCTAGGGAAGCCAATACTGAATAAGTAATTTCAAGAATTTAATAACAAACATGGCGTTGTCCATATGGCCGACAAGTAAACTGGCAAAGCAATCTTACTTATTAAAAATTGACTCACTTTTTACAAGTCAATTTTGTTAAAAAAATCTTTAAACATTTTTTCTCCTAACAAAAGTTAAAATTTGTTAAACTTCCACGGATAACGGTAATTTGATACTTCTTCTATGTTATCAAAGGCCTACAGGCTCTGCGGTATTTTCTGATCTTTCCAATCTAAAATTTGTACTGTATATCTGTATGTATTTCCCTGTATAATTTTATTTGACAATGTATATACTATAATTCAACATATGGAATTTAGCATGACTAGTGTTGCATCAAAAATTATTAATGTTAATTTTTTTTATGAGGCCACACTTTATCCCTGCATATCCAGATTACTTCCTTAAAAACGACACTTAAAAAAAATATAAAAAATAGATACCTCCATAATAACTGCCATATGAACACATCTGCGGATGTTTAAAAATTCTAAATTTTACGAGTTCATGTTAAATGATGAATTCTGCTTAAGCCGGTGCTACATGTAGGGGCGTGGACGGTAGTTTGCACTTTACAGTACCGTCCATGAACAGGCTCAATCAAAGCGAGCCTGCAACATTTTCAATTTTGCCGCCTGGACTTTCTTTGGGGATTCTTATTTCTCTCCATTCTTGTAGAAAGACACAGATGATACATACTTTGTAAAGTAGTACAATTTTAGTTCCATCAATGAATAACCTTTTAAAGGGAAGTCAGTGGCAAGTTAATGACAAAAATATCAAAATTATCTTATGAACTCAAATCACACTAAAATGACTTTTCTGAAAGTCCAAACATGTATTTGTGTATGAATTCTTCATATTTTGGGTTTGAAGAGTAAATATATCTATATCTATGGAACGAAATTAAGGCGCCAAAAAATACCGAGTAGTTTTTAAACTAGTAATGTGACTTGAACAAACCCTTGAAGTTACAATAACAGATACTCGTATTTTGGATATTGTATGACTGAAAGAACCCTAAATCATTAATTTGAGATGTTCTTTAACGTATCAAGAGTTCTCTGTGACAACAATTGTGAAATCCTAACGCTCTAACCTGACCCACGTAGGTCAAGTTAGGAAATAGATAAATACAGAATCCCTAAAGAAAGCCCAACACGGCAAAATTGAAAATGTTGCAGGCTCGGTTTGATTGAGCCTGTTCCATTTTGTTGGAGAAAAGTTTTGTTCTTGTGACTGTCTATTGTATTCATTTTGAGGACATATATTTTGACGAAGATATTTTGCCTGTATCTTCTTTAAACGAAACGAAAAAGTAAAGGCCAGTCAACCGAAACTACGTAATAACTACAAATACTAAAAATAATTTTTGCAGCGAATATAAGGCTAGGGGGCGTGGACGGTAACTTGCACTTTCCAGTACCGTCCATGAACAGGCTCAATCAAACCGAGCCTGCAACATTTTCAATTTTGCCGTGTTGGGCTTTCTTTAGGGATTCTATATTTATCTATTTTATGATCACATCCGTGTTATTTGTGCCGTGTGGCGGCTGTAAAAAGTCTCCCCGTACATTTAATCAATGATGTTATATTTTCGATCCTTGAAGATCGTTCAGCACGACATTATTGTTGTGCTTGTAGTATTTTTAGTTTCAACTTTTCGGCATTTTCTAGTTCGGTGGTTCCAATATTCCTACTTGAATAATGTTGAATCACCCTTAGGATATGTTGCCTGCTTTTTAAATTTGTCTTTTGACGTCTTATCTGTGATACGCAGGCTTCATAACCTCTGATCCCCTTTCAAAATTCCATTTAATTTAGTTCCGCCCATTGTTTTCTCGTTTAGGGCACACGCTTTTTATTACTTGGGGACCATACGCCGCTTTTCATGGAATGGCACGGAAGTGTCACATTGAAGGTTCCATGATAACCGCCGTATGAACACATCTGCGGATGTTTCTAAATTCTAAATTTTACTATTTCATGTTTAAATGTTGAGTTCTGCTTAAGCCGGTGCTAGGGGGCGTGGACGGTAACTTGCACTTTCCAGTACCGTCCATGAACAGGCTCAATCAAACCGAGCCTGCAACATTTTCAATTTTGCCGTGTTGGGCTTTCTTTAGGGATTCTATATTTATCTATTTTATACACTTTTAATTTTGGAACTACTAGCCTCGTGAACTCTTAAATGGCAATTATATGTATATCTGGCTTAGATGTTCCGCTTTTCGTTTAACACATTTTGTTCTATATATTACTTATATGTACAGTTTTTTTATTTGCATTCAATCTATTATAATATTTTTACAGTGGAGAATTTCGATTCGATTTCTACAATTCGATACACACTCTCAGCCTTCGGTAAATACTGCGTTTTATTTGAATATATAAGCGGCGTCATGACAATACCAACATAGTGCGTTTGCGACCAGCATGGATCCAGACCAGCCTGCGCATCCGCGCAGTCTGATCAGGATCCATGCTGTTCGCTTACCAACCCTTTTACAAGGTGAGAAACTGATAGCGAACAGCATGGATCCTGATCAGACTGCGCAGGCTGGTCTGGATCCATGCTGGTCGCAAACGCACTATGTTGGTTTTGTCGTGACGCGGCTCATATTATTTAATATGTATATCTATATTTTTCAATATGAAATTTTTTTAGATGATATAATTATGTCTTTTGAACTGTTATGCATAAACTGGTCATACTTCATGACCAATCAGGAAGCTCTATATACGCTCTGTTTTGCAATATTTACCCTGTAACACTTAAATTAACTTTACATAAAGATATATCTGACATAGTATTAAGTCTAGATGTTTAATATTTTACATATAATTTTATATCATTATCTGTTACATTATCCAGCTTCTTCCCGAATGGTCAGGAAAAAATGCAAGTCGTCGAACGAATCGATAATATTGAAAAACATGTATCGGAAAAGGAAGTTCCAACTGAACTACTAGGACATGGCATTGTGACAATTTCAGTCATCCCTCAAAACAAATCAGTAGAGGTTAGTTCTGCTGCCTTCAAAAATGATCTAGACATTGTAAACATGAGTTTAACATCATTTAGCTTAAAACCCTGATAAAGTGTTCTTACCTGAAGAAAGTAGCGTTTAATATCGAAATAAATGTTATTTGTTTAAAAAAGTAAACAAAGCAGAATTGCATCTTCCATACAAAATACTAAATCACGAAAAATATAAATTGCCAATAAGTAATAAAAACAAAAGTGCTCAGGTATTAGCTAGGCCGTTGAATTACAGATTGGAAACTAGGAAAATACACAAAGAAACTTGAGCAATTACACTTTTTTAATTATCATGCTCGATGTTTTAATTTGCGTTCAGCTTCGGACAGGATACCCATCCGTAAATACATGTTTGTATTTTTTATTGGTTTCAGATACTTATCGATAACAAAACGTTTTTTGTTCATCAACTAGAGGCGATTGACATGGACAAGTTGCTGCTTCTTCAAATAACTCCGACAAGCACTCAAAACCAACCCGTCTTACATGGCATTCGATTATATTTCGTGTAGTTTTATAAGTGGCTTTTGACCAGCAAGTGTCATATAGTGTTAATGAGGGTTATTTAGACTTGTTAAAATAACTATCTAACACATTGACTCATAAGGTATATAGTCTATAATATCTAGAAAATCAATCAAATATTACATAACCTGTTTTATAGATAGATCAAATGACGAATAGTAAATTGAAATACAAACACTGTGTACAAGGGGCACAGTTTAAATGTGCAACACTAGGAAGAAACATTTTGTATTTGTACTGTCGCCGCGATATTTTCTTTCTTTTCTGTTGTACATACATTTACATGTGTGCCGTTTTTTGAAGTTTTTTTTGTTTGGTTATCATCGCTTTGTCATTATTTTTATTGAGAAGTAAATGGTGTTGGTGGTGGTGGTAATAGTGTTGGTGGTTGCATTTGTAATAAAAAAAACCTAAAAAGTCCCTTCGTATGATAACTCCTTTGGTATGTATTATTACATATTCTATAATATAATTATAGTCAATTGATACTTTTTTTTTCGATGCTTCGGCGCATGCGTAGTTAGGTATTGCTTATCTAGATCTTACAAAGCATCATATATGCTGTAATTGCTCTCTTCCCCTGTGCGTGCACGTTTTTGAGAAGGCGTAGCGCATCAGCAGATGATTTCAGATCCAGTACAACGTGTAAGTTGGCAAGTTTGCATGTTTCCACAACTCGGGGTTGCGTATTAGGCGGCACAACATAGCCTACTTGAAGGTAGCTACCGGTGTATTGACTTAAACCGAGTAAATTGACTCCACAAAGAATGGGACGGGGAGGAGGGGGGAAATGTTCTTAGGTGTGTGAGCCCCTAGTACAGATATCGGCTCGAAAGGCACAATCTCTCCTGACACAACTCCTTTTTCGGGACCATGTCCTTTTTATATTGTCTCAGGTTACAGCATATTAAGATTCTCATTGGGCGCCCTTCACTTTTTAAAATATAGTATTAATGGATATGATTGCTCGACATATTCGTTAATAATTGACTTTTATTTTCGTTTGATGTAAGATAAATACAATCCTTATTAATAACTCAGTGTTAATTCTCTTATCTAAAGTCACGAGGTAGGACTGCTTTAAATACGTATTGTCTCCAAGATCATTATGAATATGAAAGGTAATGGTGTTCCGATTTATAGAGTATAAACATATACACAATGAAAACGGGATTCCCGAAAATTATTTTGCCTCAAATTGAGTCGCGGGCATACATTTTATTAAAAAAAAATATTTCATTGCTTGGTGCCGTCGGTAAAAATATCTTCTTTTCTTCTTTGTTTTTTTTTACAATTCAATTTTGCTGCATCCGACGGTCAAAAAAATGATCAGATATGGCTTTATTCTACATAAGAGGAAAGTTTGACATGAGCCAAACAGGACCGAACACAATATCCCTTAGTTTTAAAGAGATAGAAACCACATTGTAACTGCCACTATTTCTCCCTTGAAATTAATTGAAAAACAGTCAGGGTGTGTATTGCACATACACATATTCAGTCCTCAAGCCAGTTTTATTAAGTGTTGAGAATTGAATACCGCTCAAGCCGGTGCTAGCAGGCTTGGGGTATGTTGAACTTTTTCATTATCTCTCGTGTACAGTCTAAATCAAACCGAGTCTTCAATTTCCGAGTAATTTTGTTGTGGTTAATACTTCCGAGGGATCACTTTGTTTCCAGATTTTTTTTATAGAAGAAACAAAATAATTAAGAAAACAATTTATTAATTTTTCTCAGATTACATTTAACCTGAAGATATTTATTATTGATCCATATCTATGGTTTGAAAACAATTATAAGCGTATCATTCCGTATTTCATATTATTTTATTTTCGAGCCATGATAATCTGATTTATTTTCAACTAAATCATATTTGAATATTTTGTAAACAGTATCATTAACAGTTCATGTATATTCTTAACGCATGTCTGTCAACTGAATTATTCACTAAAGTTCTCTAAACGATGGGACATTTTCAAATGGCAAGCTACAAACCAAGATCGATATACAACTGAAGGAAGTACGTCTTGAACATGTAATTATTCAACAAGAGTATGTAGAAATTGCAGAAATGTTTGAGATCAAAAGGCTCAAAACTTTGTTATTACTTTGCGAAACATAAATTTACTTTAATTCATAACAAGATTGAACACGCGTCAAACAAAATCAAACATTTGAAATGGAAATGCTGACAAAGGACATTCTTACTAACAGATTTAGAAACGCGTTCATAATAATATTGTTTTGAAGCACGGCGATGCCTTCCATACCTAAGTTATCAACATTTTTTAATGTGTCTAATTTTGAAATAATGAAGATTGGAACCTATCATTGTTAAATACATATTACATTGCAATATAGGCTGTGAACTTAAGAATTTAGGGGAAATGTTTGATGAACAAAATGACATGTTTGACTGAATAAAAGTATGACATATAATACGAAGAGAGATCCCTTTAAAATGTTATCGCCGTTTCTGTGACCTCTGTACCAAGGACACTGCACGACGGGGTCTTTTTTACACCTTTAATTTATCCCTTAGAAAAAGCCTTACTTATTTTTAGCTCACCTGTCACAAAGTGACAGGGTGAGCTTTTGTGATCGCTTTTCGTCCGGCGTCCGTCCGTGGTCCGTCCGTCCGTAAACTTTTACTTTAAATGTAATCTCCTCATTAACCACTAAGCCAATTTCATCCAAACTTCACAGGAATGTTCCTTTGGTGGTCACCTTTAAAAATTCTTCAAAGAATTTAATTCTATGCAGAACTCTGGTTACCATGGCAACCGAAAGAAAAAAACTTTAAATATCTTCTTTAAAAAAAACCAAAGAGCTAGAGCTTACATATTTGGCATGAAACATCTTCTAGTAAGTGTCTACCAAGTTTGTTCAAATAAAAGCCCTGGGGTCAAAATTGGCGCCGCCCCGGGGGGTCATTAATTTTCCCTATATGCATATAGTAAAAACTAAAAATTCTTCTTTTAAAGAACCCATAGAGCTAGAGCTAAGATATTTAGCAAGAAACGTCTTCTAATAAGTGTCTACCAAGTTTGTTTTAATAAAAGCCCTTGGATCAAAATTGGCCACGCCCCAGGGGGTCGTTGGTTTTCCCTATATGCATATAGTAAAAGCTTCTTTTAAAGAACCCAAAGAGCTAGAGTTTAGATATTAAGCATGAAACATCTTCTAGTGAGTGTCTACAAAGTTTGTTCAAATAAAAGCCCTGGGGTCAAAATTGGTCCCGTCCCGGGGGTCATTTATTTTCCTTATATGTGTATGGCAAAAACTTAAAAATCTTCTGTGAAAAAAACCAAATAGCTAGAGTTTAGATATTAAGCATGAAACATCTTCTAGTAAGTGTCTACAAAGTTTGTTCAAATAAAAGCCCTGGGGTTAAAACTGGCCCGCCCCAGAGGTGTCATTGTTTTTAACTATATTTGTAGAGTAAAAACTTAAAAATCTTCTTTTAAAAAAACCAGTGAGCTATAGGTTAGATTGTTAAGCACGAAACATCTTCTTGTGGTAGTCTTCCAAGTTTGTTAAAATAAAAGCCCTTGGGTTAAAATTGGCCCTGCCAAGAAGGGGGGGGGGCGGAGGTCATTATTTTTCATTATATGTGTGTAATAAAAACTTAACATCATGAAACATCTTCTAACGGGTGTCTTCCAAGTTTGTTCAAATAAAAGCCCTGGGGTTTAAACTGGCCCCGCTTCGGGGGCCTATACACAGGTGAGCGACCTCAGGGCCATCATGGCCCTCTTGTTTTATAAATACATTCATGGTGTCAATATACAGTTTCTAAAATGAAATTCGAGTGCCATGCAGTTCGGCCATTTTTTGCTTTCCAATCATTAGCTTTGATGTAGTGAACTAGTATTTTTATTGAAGATACAATACAACTTCGGTAACATTTTGGTGTTTTTGTTACATATTTAGAAACATATAATTTTTTTAGGCTTTGCAGTTAATGTTTTATTGCTTAATAATTGCTATTCGTGCAGATAAGCAAATTTGGTAAAAGGTTCAAAGGTTCATTGCTGTATAATCACACACATTTATTTTAGAAGAAATATTTGTTGGTACATGGGAGGTTACTCCTACAATATGAAACACACATGAAAAAGGTGTTATGTCATCATATGCTTAAAAAACTTTGTTTTGTATGTATTTGTGAACAAATAAGAAAATTAAACAAGTTATTATCTTGTATTTTTTACCATTGTTGACGTAGCATAGCTTTAAATTTATTAAAAACATCAATATTCGAATGGTCTCAAGAAATTGATCAGATATGGCTTATTCTACATAAGAGGAAAGTTTGCCATGAGCCAAACAGAGTAAACAATATCCCTTAGTTTTAAAGAGATAGAAAGCACATTGTAACTGCCACTATTTCTCCCTTGACATTTATTGAAAAACAGTCAGGAGTGTGTATTGCACATACACATTTTCAGTCCTCAAGCTAGTTTTATTAAGTGCGAGAATTGAGTGCCGCTCAAGCCGGTGCTAGGGGGCTAGGGGGATGTTGCACCAATTAAATATTTCTCATGTTCAGACTCAATCAAACCGAGTCCACAATTTTCAAGTAATTTTGTTGTGATTAATGCTTTCAAGGGATCACTCTTTTCCAGATTTTTTATAGAAGAAACAAAAAAATAAAGAACAAAATTATTCATTTTTTAGATTACTTTAAACCTTTGATGCATATCTATAGTTTGACAACAATTATAAAGAATCATTCCGTATTTCATTTTTTTTAGCCATGATAATCTGATTTACTTTCCACTAAATCATATTTGAATATTTAGTAAACAGTATCATTATGTAAACAGTTCATGTATATTCTTAACGCATGTCTGTTAATGAATTATTCAATGAAGTTCTCTAATTGATGGGACATTTTCAAATGGCAAGCTACAAATCAAGATCGATATACAAAGAAGAAATACTTCTTGAACATGAAATTATTCAACTAGAGTATGTAGACATTGCAAAAATGTTTGAGATTGAAATGCGTAAAATGTTGTTGTTACTTTTCCAAACATGAATTTACTTTAATTCATAACAAGATTGAACACGCGTCAAACAAAATCAAACATTTGAAATGGAAATGCTGACAAAGAACATTCTTACTAACAGATTTAGAAACGCGTTCTTAATAATATTGCGATGCCTTCATACCAAAGTTACCAATATTTTTTAATGTGTCTAATTTTGAAATAATTAAGATTGGAACCTGTCATTGTTAAATACATATTACATTGCAATATAGGCTGTGAACGGAAATGTTTGTTGAA